CAATCAACCTAAACCACGACAGGATCTTGTTTTGTTCTACCACGGACTTATAGTAGTCCATGGTTCCATATTTATCAAATTTCGTCAAATCTGTGTCAATGCTTTAAGCTGCAAGTGGATACTATCATCACTGAGCTTTTGGTTTATCTGTCAAGTCTGACGAAAACATCGACTGACGCTTCAGGAATCGTTGCTGTGGGGAAGCGATTGACTAATCACAGTGCCCGAAAAAAATTGGTACAGAAACTAAATGATGAAGGTCTGCCTCCAAATCAAATCATACATGTCAGTTTTAACACAGCGATAACACAGGCACCCGTGGTTTAACAACAGTCACCATCACACTTTTAAAATGTATAGTTTCCGCGAGCACATGGGTCTAAAGATAATTCACGGTGTTTCCATGAATACATGACCAGCTTAGTAATGTAAACATGTCACTTACCTTATTATTGAGTAATAGAATCTCTCACCCCCTTGGGGGTGAGATAGGTGAATCTCAACCCGAGGGGGAAGATTCCTATTTTGCCAAACACGAGGCTTTGCCGAGTGCTTGGCAACTTAAGAATCTTTACCCGAGGGTTGAGATTTCCCTATCTTACCCACAAGCCTGAAGGGGGTGAATGATTCTTTTCCTCTTACCCTGTTTTTCCCAATGTGTATCATATACACAATGTAATGATAACGTTACATGCTAAATTCAGGGTTGACATGACGTTGATGGATTGTTGACGTGACGTCATTGTATTGATGAAGTGACGTATTACTATTGTTATAAATAGGGAAATCCTACCGTCTCAACCCTAGGGTGAGACAAGGAAATCTCAGACCGGATACACCTGTCCAGGGTAAGAGAAAACTAAATCCCAAACACAAAATAAAATGGTCTGCAAATAAATGCCACACACAAAAAAACCCACCATATTTTCACTTATTTTTGCTTCAGATAAGTGGCCATAAAAATCTCTAGAGTGCCAACAGCTACTCCACCATCAACTGCAGCCAACAACGTACAATTTCACGGGTCTTGTCCAACACGGTAGATAATGCGAAACCTGTCACCTCAATGGATAGGCCTACCCCATCTCGTTGGGGTCACTCACGCACACAGTGAGGACTAACACTGGTTTAAATCCATATCCGATTCTCTTTGGAGGCCCAATTTATGACGGTACATTCAACGTTACTATCAAAAACGTTAACACTGCTTCTCCTGCTTCTAGAGTTATTTACTCAAGTGACAGCGACAATTGAATGGACAATTTGCGGGAAAGCCGCTTCAGGCGGTGGCAAATATGATGGTACACAGAAAGTATACCGAACAAAAAAAGAATATTTGGTCAGGTATTACATCCCTTCTCAACAATCTACCCTAAAATCAGCCAATCGTGACGATGTCATTGTGTGACTTTGTGAGCTTCTTTAGTCCAAATCACGCGGCGTGATCAAGCCAAGCCGGAGTTTTTCAAACAAATAATCTCAACGGATACTCTGAGTTCGGCCACATTAATTTTCCACGTTGGCATTTTGATTTCGCCATTGACTGAGATGCCACGTTTAACGCAAATGCAGAGGGGTAGAGCAATTGCGATGTTGATGGATAGTCATAGCCAAACTGCTATCGCACGGCAGTTTGGTGTTGGCCCGTGTACAATAAACAGTCTCTGTACACGGTTCCGTGCTACAGGGTTAGTTTCCGATCGTCCCAGTAGCGGTCGTCCGCGTGTAACGACCGTACGACAAGACAGGGCGATTCGATTGTCGCACTTGCGTAACCGATTCAAGACTGCTGAAGAGACTGCTTTGGATACCTTAGGTACTCGTGGCAGACCCAATAGTCCTCAAACTGCCAGGAACCGCTTGCGTGCCGAGAGAATCATTGCGCGCCGACCTTATGTCGGGCCACCTCTGACACCACGGAGGCGGCAAGTGCGTCTTGACTGGATGCGCAGACATGGCCCGAATAGGTTTGGGATGCGTCAATGGAGGCGTGTGATGTTCACCGACGAGTCTAGCTTCTGTCTGTATCGCTCAGACGGAAGAAAAGGGGTATATCGCAGACGCGGTGAGCGTTTCGGCGACGCATGCGTGGTTGAACGCGATATATTCGGTGGGGCTTCTGTAATGGTTTGGGGAGGCATCTCCCATGGAGTAAAATCCCCCTTAGTGGTTCTGGATCAAAACCTCAATGCCGTTCGATACAGAGACCAGATCCTCCAACCACATGTCCTTCCACTTCTCAGACGTCATAACCTAATTTTCCAGCAAGACAATGCTCGACCGCATGTTGCCAGAGACTGTCGTGATTTTCTCACGGCAAACAACGTACAGCCTCTGGAATAGCCCCCATATAGCCCCGACAGGTATCCCATTGAACATCTGTGGGATGAGCTGGACAGGCTTATTAGGAAACGTAACCCCCCTCCCCAACTAACCGCACCCAGTTGATCGCAGCATTAACACAATAATGGAACAACATTTCCTTAAGTCGAATAAATGTTCTCATGAATTCAATGCATAGGAGATTCCGTGCAGGGATTCGTGCAAAAGGTGCCCACACCAGGTACTGAAGTGTCATTTTATTTTTCGCGGGTATCCCACTTTGAGTAACTACTGATTGCTGATGACACGAGTGACGTCACACAGACTTTTCTTCTACAATATTGTAAAGAGTAGACTTGTCCCTTCATATTGATATAAAATTTTGTACAAATTTCCCAACATATCATAGGCTATTGATTGCATAATTTAATTGTTCGTTTCTTTTTTTGTTCAGTATAGTTCGTCATTGTATTTGTGATAATTAATTTCTTATGTAGATTTCTATAAATTTAATGCTTTGAAGACAATAAATTGTCATGATCTGTAATAAATCATAATATTTCCACATATTTCTGAAATTGTCATTTTGCATATTAATTAGCTGCATTTTACTACAGGTCATATCCTTACGCCCCATCTGATATCGTAAACAAAACACACATGTCAATTTCCTCGGAATGATTTTTTTTTATTGTGGTAGAAACAGGTCACACAAACTCGTGGTTGTTGTATATGGTATTTCTTTCACTCTAGTTAGTTATTTTTGAAAAGGTTACAAATAGCACTCGCTTAAGCTCGAGTTTTTTGTGACTTTTGAAAAAAAACTAACTCGAGTGAAAGAAAAACCAAATACAACAACCACTCGTTGTGTAACCTCTATTTACACGTTACACTGTTTATTTGCATTACCTGTTACAGTTGTTTATATGTGTTACGGTCACAACTGTTTACCAGATTACACATTAGCATGGATATCTGTAATACCGGTAGGTACTGTGTACCTGCATTATCTGTTACATTTGTATATCAGAATTACACGTTACCATTGTTTACCAGTTACACTATTTTCCTGTATTACACGTAACACTGTTTACCTTCATAACCTTTTAAATGTGTTGATCTGTATTGTAAGTTACACTGTTTATCTGTAAGACACGTTACCTCTGTTTATCATTATTACACTTTACCACTGTTTATCTGTATTACACGTTACACTATTAATCTGTGTTACACATTACCATTGTTTATCTGTATTACACGTTACCATGGTTTATCTGTATAACCCGTTACCAATATTTATCTGTGGGATCGCACAAACGTTACACGATGTGCGGTGTGCGCACGATGTGTGCACGATGTGCGCACGATAAAAAGTTGGATGATCATTTCTTGCGCACATTTGTGTGCACGATGGACGAACGTTAGGCGATAACAATCGTGGTTGGTGTAAATTGAGGAATATATACGGTTTCGTGTTTAAACATATAAGCTTGATTTTTACGTGTGTTTCTATATTCTACCTACATCTATCAGCTTATCATTATTTTCATGCTTTCCTAAAATTAGAAATTGTGTTTTCGGGTTTTTAAACGACCTTAATCGACACATGTGAAATTACAACACAGTCCCGTATACAGGTTAACAAAGACATTTTGTACATGTACCTGGACCGTAGTTTCCCCCCGACCGGGGCGCTTACGTATTTCGTCGGGTAGGGCCAGGGTGTGTGAAAACCCAGGTGGAGGAGAGCTATAGGCAAACCGAATGCAAATAACAAATACTAAACGTCCAATTGTGTCTTCATTACGGTCATACGGTATCGCATATTAGCTCTATGTGTCAGGTACAGGCCAGGTAAAACTCATTAAGTTGTTATCTACCTGTTCTGTTACCTTGAAGCCAAACCCATTCAACGGTCACTGTACTGCTGTATTACATGCATTGTAAAACTGTACATAATCTTCATAACTGTGATGAGAAATTACAGTTATGCATACAGTTTTCATTATTGCATACGAGCTTTCCGTATTTTTTTCGTTCCGTAATATTGATCTACAAAAAGAAAAGCGCACAACGGGGCGAACGAATGTTAAATCGCACAGTTGTGTCCACCATGTGCGGACGGTGTGTGAACGATGTATGCACGGTGTGCGCACGCTAGTTTTGGAGCGTTGTGCGGTCACACAACTGTATCATGGTTTATCTGTTTTACCCGTTACCACTGTTTATCTGTATTACATGTTACACTATTTGACTGTATAACACGTTACCAAGGTTTGTTTGTATTACCCGTTACCACTGTTTATCTTTATTACCCATTTACCACTGTTTATCTGTATTACCCGTTACCACTGTTTATCTGTATTACCCTTTACCATTGTTTATCTGTATTACACATTTAACACTGTTTATCTATATTACACGTAACCATTGTTTATCTGTTCTACCAGTTACCACTGTTTATCTGTATTACAAGTGACACTGTTTGCCTGTATTACACGCTACACTGTTTATCTGTATTACACATTGCCAATGTACGTTACCACTGTTTATTGTTTCCAGCATACAAAATGATCCTATACTACTCGTTATTGTTCAAATGAATTGTTACATTGATAACAGGATATCACTGTATAGCTGTATCACATGCTATAGGCTGATGTTGTTTGTAATTGCAGGTGATGAGAAGTGAGAGCGTCTCGGATAGTGTTACTGTCAATTTTCAGCTGAATACCTACAAATATAGCGGAGACAATTTCATGTGCAGGTCACCAATCTTTCTGATCCTAGTGAACAAAGTGGACGAAGGCAACGGGCAAGTGATACATGTTATTTCTAAATTGTACCTCACAACATCTATATAACAACATTGCCCTTTTTATTAGAAAAGTCACTGCAGTTAGATACATCATAAACATGTCTTGCATAAAGCGGATCATTATGGGTGGATTCGTCGAGTGGTGAACCATCCGGCCTTCCACACAGACGACCGGGGTTCGATCCCCGAAGTCGTCGTACGCATGGAATATTCAGATAAGGTGCTCTTCTCCTGCCCACACAACTCCAACAACCCAGATGCAGTATACATTGATCTGGGGATGATGTTGCAGTCTCTGTGCTGTAGCATTCAAGTGAGGTGGCACTATAAATGATGCCGTTGGAAGCACGGTCCTACAACAAATATAACACATAACATCTCCAGCACACACGCAGGCATACACTTATAGGGAGATATTAGCCAGGTGGCATACGACGAGAAGTTAGCGCCTGATAAGGCAGCTCCTGCGAATTCCTCAAAATTGTACTGATTAATGTATATGCTAATTGTATTAATCTTATATCTATGTACGGTAAAGCGCTTTAGTGTGGCTTATGCTAGCTAGATAGAGCGCTTTATCAAATGTTTATTATTATTTTATTCTCATTATTGTACATGTACATGTAACATGCTCGGTTATTTACATTTGAAATGCAGTGAAGACTTTTGGACGAGCGTACTGTTTCGTTAAAAAATTAATACATCGTCCAAAAATATATGGTTTTCAACCAATAAACTTCATGTATTATATCTTAGGGTTTGTGAAGAGGAATACAAGCACGTGAATGATGGTGATTTCAAGAAATTCAACAATAGTACACCCAGCGAAAATACCACTACGCCCCACTGTCTGCTACTTAAATACCAATTTAAACAGATGAATTTCTCTATTCCGAGACAGGAATATAGAAAGGTACCTACGTGTTTCCTTGGAACATGTATCTGATGATGATTTTCTATCTAAATGTTTACCAAGACAGCAAACCAGATGATAATGTTTGTGTACATGTTGCCCGAGACAATAAATCTAATGATGGTTTTCTGTGTAGATGTTGCCCCAGATAGTACATCTTATGATGATGTTCCATGTTCATGTCGCCCTCGGCAGAAAATCCCATGATGATGGTTAATGTTCATGTTGCCCCGGACATTATATCTTATGGTCATTGTTTTTGTGTAGATGTCGCTCAAGAGTGTAAATCGTATGTTAATATGTTTCCACAGACATTACACCTAATTGTGAAGCAGAAGTACAGCAACATCAACACTTTGACCGGCGAGGACGACCTTACACATTACTGTTCCAATGTCAGTACAGACAAGCTTGTCAGTCCATTTAACCTCCCGATAAAATGCAAGCCTCACTAACAGTGTAGTTCCTGCAGGTACAGTAGAGACTAAATATATGTATTTCGTGTTTTCAATTAATTTTAAACTCAATCTACTTTGAATTTGACAACCATCAGAAGCTGACTACAAGTATTTGATTTTAATTTTAGTATTAACGTGACGTTGGTGGCGACGTGTCCTCAGCACTACTTTGGTGCGCAGTGTGACATCTACTGTTCACCCTCGGACGATAATACGACTGGACACTACAACTGTGGGCCTGATGGGGAAAAGATTTGTTTTCTAGGTAGGAAGAGAGTTAAGATAAATATACACGGTAGCAATTGTTGAATGAATGAGATGATTCAGGGTGTGTGTAAAAAAAAAGGCCGTTCCCCTTGCTAGATTGTTTGCAAAACCACGAAAGTACATGTATTTTTCAAATATTTTTTTACTTTTCGTCATCGATTATTTACCATCGTTTTGTGATCGATAAAGCAGACTAGAGTTCGTAGCAGTGTATTATACATTATACGAAAGCTACATTTCACCTCAACTTTGGGAGGACAGGTCTTGACTTTGTTGATATGACAGTTTGAACACATAAATTAATCTAAAATCTGCAAACCATCATATTTTCAATATCCAAACCGTTTATTTGATATCAAGATCATTAATAAAATGTTTAAGTCATTGTAACGGGGTTTACAAAGTTGATTAGACATCAAGCAAGTAAATGTTCCCTGATTATTATGCAAATCCACTTTTACTATCAATTCTTTAATTCATAAACAAAAGTGTCAAATACCCCGCGCAAATACGAAAAACCCGGACATACAGGCGCGCATACCAACTCCCTCTTTTTCCAATTTAAAATAACACATAATGTAACGTATTGTTCTTCTATCCTGTCTTTGTTTGTAGAACCAATGGTCACGTTATACTCGTTACCTTGATGTTCCACCTTATGCACCCACTAAGCAATATTTGGATCAATCATTTTCTGCCTGTTCCATCTTCCCATTTCTTTAGGATTTTGGGTACAACTCAGATTTCCCTCTTGGATCTTACCAGGGTTGTGGTCCGGTATCATATCAGCAGATTGGTAGTGTGCTGCCTGCTCAGGGCCCCCTTGCGTCTGGGGCCGTGGAGAGATCGGTGTTTTAAAGATCTATTAGGGCATTCATGAACTCTCGGTCCAAGACGATACCTACTCCTGACACCTGTCCTCGTGCCCTCTTGGCCCCCGGATTATAGGACAGTTAATAATTTAGAGTCCTCCTCTATTGTTTAGATCCTCTTTCGAATATTTCGTTTCCCTTTTTTTTGAAATACTGTAACTTGTTTTCAACCTTCTTTAATTAGGTCATGATCCTGTAGAATTTGCGAATCTAATAGGTAATAAATTCATATTTTTAGAAGTATTTGTTTTGATATAATAATTTAAAATACAGTTTTGTTTTGCTTTTGTAAATCCCAATTGGACTTTTGTGATAAAACTGCCTACCACGCGCAATGGGAGTCCCCATCTTCCTCAATTCTCCTCTGCAACTTTTAGGTTCATAACCTTCTTAATTCAATGTTGGTTGTAGAGGAACTGGGATGTGTGCGCGCATCGAACTGCCGTATATCTTTTATTGGAAACGATGTATTTTGCATATTTCAGGGGGCTTTGGAAGTTAAAGAACTGAAAAAAGAAGCTGATTTACATAATACTTGAACGTAATTGGTAATTTTATCAGAAATGTTGAGTTAACAATAAAAAAAACCAGTCATAGAATTTAAAAGCACATATTTGTTATTTTCTTTTAGATAATTATATTGTTTAGGAGATATTGTTTCCCTTAGTTTTTTTTATACATCAAGATAACTCTATCCTCAAAATCCAAACCGGTGCTTACAAGGTGTAGACCAACCTGAAAAGGTTCACTATTTTTTAAGTTTTTTTAATTTTTTTATTATATTTTCAAATTTTATGACATAAACATATATATAAATATACATACAATGTACATGAGCGTCTAGAATCGCCTTTAAATAATGTACATACTGTTCAAAATATTCTATCAAGTGTCAGTATTCGTCTTACATTATATATTAACAAATAAGTAAAGATTCACATTCTGATATAAAAAATAAACTTCCGGATATTCTTGTCCGTACTCTATTCTAATTAAAATTGTATTATAATCCAGTGTATGATTTCCGGTTAGAGTCACGATGGTGAACAGACTTCGATTCGCACAAACGTTATTATATTATATTATCACTAATTTTAACTGATATGAATTCTAGTTTGCTTTGACAATTACATATCGATGAATAAAATCGATTAAACAACCAAGTAGACCGAAATTCTGGTAAGAACTAACTAAATAGTTTCACTAGTTAGAACAAACTGTATCGTTATACTGATGACCTATTACACTGATGTAAATAGCAACCCGTCATACTTGAGATACAAAATGTAAGTTACTACAGTGTACTTAGAACTGCTACAACGTGAAAGTTTCTCTAATTGTGCAGGTTACGAGGGTGACAACTGCACTGTCAATACTCCGGACTGTGTCAACGTGACCTGCCACAACGGAACATGCATCGACCATGTGGCAAACTTCTCATGTAGCTGTTATGCTGGTTACACTGGAGAGTTTTGTGAACATAATATTGATGACTGCGTAAAAGTTACTTGCCAAAATGGAGGAACGTGCCACGATGGTATCGGGAAATACACTTGTTCCTGTGTAAATAGATTTGATGGATTACACTGTGAACATAATATTGATGACTGCGTAAATGCTACTTGCCAAAATGGTGGATCGTGCCACGATGGTATCGGAAATTACACTTGTTCCTGTGTAAATGGATTTGATGGATTACACTGTGAAAATAATATTGATGATTGCGCAATTGCTACTTGCCAAAATGGTGGATCGTGCCAGGATGGTATCGGAAATTACACTTGTTTCTGTGTAAATGGATTTGATGGATTACACTGTGAAAATAATATTGATGATTGCGCAAATGCTACTTGCCAAAATGGTGGATCGTGCCACGATGGTATCGGAAATTACACTTGTTCCTGTGTAAATGGATTTGATGGATTACATTGTGAACATAACATTGATGATTGCGCAAAAGCTACTTGCCAAAATGGTGGATCGTGCCACGATGGTATCGGAAATTACATTTGTTTCTGTGTAAATGGATTTGATGGATTACACTGTGAAAATAATATTGATGATTGCGCAAAAGCGACTTGCCAAAATGGTGGATCGTGCCACGATGGTATCGGAAATTACATTTGTTTCTGTGTAAATGGATTTAATGGATTACACTGTGAACATAACATTGATGATTGTGTAAACATTACATGCCATCATGGAGGAACGTGCAGCGATGGTATAGGGAATTACACTTGTGTATGTAATGATGGATTTGGTGGAATTTACTGTCAGCAATACGTAACAACTCATAGTCCGACTGTGACATCCCCACCAAAGGTTAGTGCAATAATGCCATATTCATTATTAATGTAGGCTTTGTTTATAATTCCATTCATGAGATCGCCACAGGTGGCAAAGGGAATGTTACCCGTTTGAAGCACGTAGTTTCGTCTCCCCGCTTCCTATGGCTGATGTATTTATATACTTTTAGTTCGGCCCACCTGAATATTGACACTTGCTAATTTTGTTATAGTCCACTATCAATAAGGAACAACCTTCAACAACACAAAGACCGCCTGGTACACTGAAACCAAAGGTAAATATAAGTTCACTTATAAAATTCCTGGCTTCCTTTACCTATTAGTATGATAAATTATCCTTTACCTCCTGATAAACATTCTCTCTTTATTCCTATTTTGCGATTTCCTTTACATCCTATCAAAAGTTTTCGTCGTCCTCCCTGACATCCTCTCGCAGGTTCTACTTTACCTCCTAGCATACGATCTATCTTTACTCCTATTAGGGGTTTCCTTTACATCCTATCGCAAGTTCTCCTAGTCGTCCTCCTTAACATCCTCTCGCAGGTTCTCCTTTACATCCTCTCACGTAACATTCCACGCGTGACAAAGAAATTGCTAATTCAGCCGAAACACCTGGTTTCCTCTTCTGGTTCATGTTCGTCCATGAATGTTGACCATCTTTCCTATTTCGTTCCAGTCCACTTCCATTCTTCCATCAACACAAAGATCGTCTGTTACACTGCCGCCAGAGGTAAGCACACATATACTGTATTCATCAATAAATATTATGTCTCCACTCCCTGTCGGAATTTTATTCTTAACCACCTTTTTACGTGTTATCCTTTTCCCTTTCGCGTGTTTTCTTTTACATTCTTTCATGAGTTTTCCTTTTTATTCAAAAATAAGTTCACCTTTACTCCCTACCATTAGTTCCTTTCTACATTTACATGGCGCTGGAAATGTTTACACAACCGCGGAACCTAGTTCCAATATCATGGTCGATGTGAATATGCTGTCTTACGAATTTAAGCTCGCAATTCGTCTATGAAAGTTGACGCTCTAGTCTATTTTGTTCCAGTCCTCTATCAGTAATGAACACACTTCATCAACACACAGATCAACTGTTTCACTGCCGCCCGAGGTAGGAATATATACCATATTTACCGATACTTATAGTATCCTTTATCGCTATGATTTGAGTACAGTTACCCCTATCACCTATAATGAATAGCCATGATTTCTCCTTTACCTCCTATCATGTGTGTACACTTACCCCCTATTACCTTTGATAAATTATCATGATTTCTACTTTACTTTCCCTCTGGTGTGTTCAGTAAACCCTCTCATCCCCAATAACTCCTGTACCTTCTCTCAGTTGTGTTAAGTTACCTTCTCGCACCTGTTATAAGTTATGACGAGTTTTCCTTACGTTCTGTCTTTGTTCCCTTCAACTTCACCCCGTCTCTTTAGTCTCTTTTACAACCCATAATGAGATCTTTTGCATCAAACTTGACGATGTTACACGCAGCACAAGTATAACCCAACCGGAGCACATAGTTATGTCACAAAGTCCATGCTGTTGCATTCGTCGTCCTTAAGTTCGAATCTTTGTTAATTGGCGCTGTGTATTATACTTTGTTCTAGTCCACTATTAATCGTGAGCAATCTTCACCAACACACAGACCGCCTGTTACACAGCCACCTGAGGTCAGTATAAAATGGTTTATTTACCACTTGTGTACATTTTCTTTTCTTCATACTGTAACCAGTACTGCATTGTGTTATATCGTCACTCGTCCGAAGTTCTGTCACTCCATCCATGTTGTGGTCTTTTCTGACACCTAATTTGGATCTCCTCCGTGTATGTTTCTGTTATAGTCCACCAGCAATCTTGAACAAACTTTATCAACGCCCAGTCAGCCTATTACAATATCACCTAAGGTGAGTAAGAATCTCAAATTCACCAATACATCCTCTTTAATCTCCTACCGACAACTCTCCTTTACCAACTATCATGATGTCTCCTTCACAGACTACTCTGACGATTGCCACATGTGATGTGACAATGTTTCCTGTCCAAAGGTTTCATCTCTCCCATGTTCAGGTTTTATTTACTGACCGTTTTTTCGCTATACTTTCGTCCTTGTTGTATATTTCCAATGTCATATATTTTCTTAGTTAATTCGTGAGGATCCTTCATCAACAAATAGAACGTTGCCGCCCAAGGTAAGTATAATTATGCCATATTTAGCAAAAACATAAAGCCCGTTTATTTTTCTGCATAGCACGTGGCCCACATATACCCTTCCGGAGCACGTAGTCTTATTTGTATTGTGATAAACTTAAGCAATGATCCAAAACTTCATGTATTTCCTCCACCCGTTAAGATCTGTAATTATATGTAATTCTTCAATGACAATTTTTAAACATCAACATGCTGGTCCCCACCATCACTTATAGGATTGCATCCATTGTATCATGAAAACATTAGCTGGTGTCCAATGTGTTTGATAGAAGACTGCTCAGTCAGGAGACACCACGATTGGTATTTGATGGAATTCGTTGCCTCATCTGTGTATTTTGTTTTATTATCATTTCCTCCTCTGGTTCGTCTATCTGCTCCGATATAAGTTTAAACCGTTTATTATAGTAGTATATATAACATGTTCGTTAAATGTTTATAGTTTATATAACATAAGCATACTTTGCTGACTCTTTGTTTTAATGTAATATCAATATGTCTTAATGTGGACAGGGACTAGAGTTAAGCTGTAATTATTATGCGACAATATCAAGCTACAACTGTAGTATTAATAGGTCCTATCTGGTCAGGAAGTAGCCAAAAAGACCAAGCTAACTTTCTATACGTCGTGCAAATCAATTATAAAGGAATGGATATGGTCTTCTTATAATCTGAAATAAGGTTTGTTATACTGGAGGATGTGTGCAGGGTTCGGGGGTCAAAAGATGAACGTTTAGATAATTGATCCTGGGGCTAACAACCCGAAACAAGCTGTTTTATGTTTAGAAGTGGTGTCGTTTGTTGATGGTTGTTTTATGGTTAAATGTTTTATGGAGCTTGTGATCATTCGACATAAACTATAAACCGAAGTTGAATTTTCGGAGTTTATAAAAGAATCGTGTATATTTATTAGGGCCCCGTATCGGAGATACGGGTGCCCTATAGGAATCACTCTGTCTGTCTGTCCGTCTGTCCGTCCACAAATTTTGTTCCTGGCTAATAACTTTGGTATTAATTGACCGATGTACATGAAACTTGGTCAAGATGTTCAGTTCACAAAAGAACACACTCAGGTAAAAAGTCAAGGTCAAAGGTCGAGGTCATAAGGTTCAAAGGTCCAGGTCAAATTTTGCATCTTTCACTGGTGAATATTTCGTTATGATGCATTGAAGCAATGTTGCTCAGAATTAAACAATGAGTCAATTGACCAAAGGTCAAGGTCACTGCGTCAAAGGTCAAGGTCAAATTTTGTATCATTTCACTGATGAACATTTTGTTATGACACTATGAAGCAATGTTGGTCAGAACTAAACAAGGAGTCAACTGACTAAAGGTCATGGTCACTGGGTCAATGTCAAGGTCAAATATTGTATCTTTTTACTGATGAACATTATTTTTATGTTATTATGAAGCAAAGTTGTTCAGAACTTAACACCAAGTCAAATGAATTAAGGTCTATGTTACGGGGTCCAAATGTTCAAGGTCAAGGTCAAGTTTTGTATTTTTCACTGATGAACATTTTGTTATGATGTTATGAAGCAAAGTTGGTCGGAATCAAAGAATAAGTCAACTGTCCAAAGATCAGGGTCACTGGGTTAAGGTCAAGGTCATTTGGGTCCAAAGGTCAAAGACAAAATGGATCTCTGACTTGGACCCTGGCTCTTGATGGAGGAGGTATTCAAAGTGAAATAAAACATATCAAAGCTAACAAATGAGTATTACACCGGTATTTACATTTCTGTTAGCCTAGCAATAGGTGGAAGGAAACAAGACTCACATCATAGTACATGTTAAATATGTATTTTGTTTCCTTGCGATTCTTTTTTGCGAGTCCAAATATTAGACCTCAAGCTCAGCTATTTGGGCAGATTGCTTCTTGATGATTATGGAGGATATATTGCCACAAGACGGGGCCCTTACTGACATGACAGTGTTCTAGTTGTAATCGGTTAATATCTCAAAACGAAATAATCACTTGAAATTACCGACAGGAACAGCCATACTTAAACAGGCTTTTTACAATTTAAGGTGACAACAGTGCAATTTATTTCTCTTTTGATGGATTCATTTTTTAAAATTTCGATTAATATGAAAACGCAAGTATCTAGATATATTCGTTCATTTAACATCTATAATTCATCCACCTAGACTCTAATATAAATAACGAAAATTAAATAAAGAACGAAAATGAAACACATTTTGTGATTATGTTTTTGGTTATTGACATGAAAGGGGCTCTAATTAGATTGATAGTAAAATTGGAATCCGCTCATTCGAACTCGTGGGATCAAGATTATCAGTTCGAGGAAAACCGGGTATTCGACGAATTCGAGGTTCGTCCGACATCGTCATTATTTTTTTATTAGACAGAACGACAGACAGTAGGAGCACTGCAGCTATCGCAAATAGTAGATGATCAAAAGTAAAAAAGAAGTTTCATAAAAATGACAACATTTAATAAAATACAAAATAGCTGAACAATGAAACGTATAGTCATCGGTATTAATATAGTTTTGCACATCAAGTGAATAAACGCTAAATCATCGATGTCAAAACATCGTCATGGAATAGGGGCATTCGAGTATTGCGAGTTCGAGTAAGTGGGGATTTACTGTATTCTCATCACGTACTAATAATTCTAAAATTTACCAGTTACATATACATAAAGTCTTTCACACTTTAAAGGATATTTCATATTCTTCCAATTTTGCTGAAGCGATTTCATTGTCATTTGGTTCTTATTACAGTGTTTTTATATTATTATTTTCAGTTATTGATAAATAAAAATAAATAAAAAAACGCTCCAAAAAAATAAGTTTACTTTGTAAACTAAATATAAAAATGTAATTTATTTTTCAAGATTGATAGTTTTTTATGAAAATGCTACTTATGTTCAGTAAAGTGAAAAATACTTTACATATTTTATATGCATTAATCGTTATCATGTATTGCTTGCCTGATCAATCCTCCCGACAACTTAATATCTGGTCGTGATATGCACTCTTATCACATCAACCAAGCTATTGACATGATTGACCGGGCGTCGAAATAAATACCGATATACACCACGAAATGCTGTCACAGTAAAAATGCATTATGTGCACATTTCAACAACACTACGCACCATCATTGCATCTGTGACCTGTGTTCTTCAACAGTTTGGATATGCTGTTCGGTGTTTTTTTCTTCCTTTATTTACCACTGCACATAGGTTTAATGGTACACTTTGTTATACACGTATTATACACGTGATCAATTCAATATGATAATGATTTTGTTAAATCATGTCAGTATAAATTAAGCCTTCTGTAGTATTGCAGACTTTAGAATCTCGATGAGGTCTTTATCTTGTGATTAACTCTCGACCTTTTCAAAATAGCTTTTCAATGATAAATAAGGATATCTATCAATTAATTGAGTATGGATTCAAACGTACACATGATTTTCTTTTAGCTTAAGATTTTCTTTCAATTACATGCATTTGAATGTTTATAATAATCGGACCCATGTGAATGGTTCTATTTTGGGGAAAAACGTTTTTAAAAAAAAGTAGTTTTTAAGTTGTAGAAGTGCTATTGGTACAGTGTTGACTTCTCTGTGCATGCTATTTCCAGGTATTTGGAGTAGTCCACATTTAGTCAAGCTGCTCTACGGACGAGTTATAGTTCTATCGTTTTTCCCGTCAATAAACTTGTCTTTTATTGCATATTGTAGGCTGATTCTAGGTTTTTAATGTTCTAATCACAGTGACACCATTAGATGCAATAGTTTCTTATCTTTAAATGAGATAACAAAACAACAATAACAAAAACATATAAATATATACATGTCTAAAACACTGTAAAAAGAGTTTCTTAGTACTCCCCTATATAAATACATTATATATATTTTACCTTTAAATTTATCAAACTGGTAGAAAAAAACACTAATCTGCAGTTAAAGTTGCGGCAGATTTCAGCCAAAAGATGTCAAAGAGGATATTACTAGCCGCTGCGGAAAGTGGCAATATATCCCATCAGAGGTGGCATCAGGTAACACCTTAATATCATGATACATCGATGGTCGCTTTCAGATCAACGCTGATAATTCGGTCGTTCGTTTATTTGGAGAGAAAGATCAATCACCTATTCAATTGTCGTAATTGGGAACTCTTAATGGAAACAATGGAATGACGTCACATTTTCAGGATAGTAATTTGTGCTGTGGTTTGGGTAATTACCGCTGTCAATGTGACGTAAGTATTGTAATACTCCACTTAAAGGTCTCTTTACCTTCAACGGTGGCAGCCATAATTTCACAAGGAGCTACAAAGTATATAATCACATCTACTTATCATGAATTGTTTATGTTTGGGCAGATTGACAATGAGTCGTCGCCACAGAAGGCTGTCAAGATCGCACCGATAGCTGGGGGCGCCACGGGAGGAGTGATAGTGCTTGTAATCGTGGTGGTGTTGGTGATAAAATGGCGGAGAAGACAGCCACAACAGGTATGTCCTCCAGCTTCTCCTCCTCCCTTCGTCCTCTTCCCTCTTCACACTCGAAATCCGTCCCGAAGATTCCAATCCATTTTCCTGATACTGATGATTGGTTTAAGCATTTTGATTTGACACGCGTTTAACGCTGACAGACATCTTATATTTGATGTTTTCATTTTTGATTCTAAATCAGTTTTTTGTTCTTCAACAGGCAAGCCAAAAGGATCAGTCACTAATGAAAAACACAAATATTTCGTATAATTCAACAAATGAAGTAGATTTGCACATCAAGGGCCATCAAAATTCAGTTGATCACCAAGACGGACAATTTGGAGCAGAGAAAGATAAACGACACGACAATCCGATATATCATGAGGATGAACAGACCCAATTGTGATGCGTTTTCTGCTAAGTTTGTATGCATTGTAATTCACGTGACATGTCTTGTATAAAAATAGCCCGACATGTCACGTGAAATTAATTCAAACTATGGTTTAAGCAATTGGTCCTGGAAGACTTAATCAAATACTTTTAGCAAAAACGCATTTAACGGATAACGCATTGGACTGTGAGAAAGAGGTACCCAATAAATGTGACCATATATAACCTCCTGTGATAAATAGATGTGACCAATTAATGTGACCATCATTAACATCATGGAAAACAGAGGTGATCGTTGGAGGTGACCAGGTGTAACCTCCTGTAAGATAGAGGTGACCTATATAGGTGACAAGGTTTAACCTCCTGTAAGATAGAGGTGACCGATGGAGGTGACCAGATGTAACCTCCTGTAAGAAAGAGGTGACCGATATAGGTGACCAGGTGTAACCTCCTGTAAGATAGATGTGACCGATGGAGGTGACCAGATGTAACCTCCTGTAAGAAAGAGATGACCGATATAGGTGACCATGTGTAATTTCCTGTAATATAGAGGTGACCAGATGTAACTTCCTGTAAGATAGAGGTGACCAGGTGTAAACTCCTGTAAGATAGATGTGACCAGGTGTAACCTCCTGTAAGATAGATGTGACCAGGTGTAACCTCCTGTAAGTTAGATGTGACCAGGTGTAACCTCCTGTAAGACACAGGTGACCAGGTTTAACCTCCTGTAAGATAAAGGTGACCAGGTGTTACCCCATGTAAGATAAAGGTGACCAGGTGTAACCTCCTGTAAGATAGAGGTGACCTATATAGGTGACCAGGTTTAACCTCATGTAAGATAAAGGTGACCAGGTGTAACCTCCTGTAAGATACAGGTGACCAGGTGTAACCTCCTGTAAGATAGAGGTGACCAGGTGTAACCCCCTGTAATATAGAGGTGACCAGGTGTAACCTCCTGTAAGATACGTTGACCAGGTGTAACCTCCTGTAAGATACAGGTGACCAGGTTTAACCTCCTGTAAGATAGAGGTGACCAGGTGTAACCCCCTGTAATATAGAGGTGACCAGGTGTAACCTCCTGTAAGATAAGTTGACCAGGTGTAACCTCCTGTAAGATACAGGTGACCAGGTTTAACCTCATGTAAGATACAGGTGACCGATGGAGGTGACCTGGTGTTATCTTCTGTGGGATAGAGGTGACCGTATAGGTGATCAGGTTTAACCTCATGTAAGATAGAGGTGACCAGGTGTAACCTCCTGTAATATAGAAGTAACCTGGTGTAACCTCCTGTAAGACACAGGTGACTAGGTTTAACCTCCTGTAAGATAGAGGTGACCAGGTGTAACCTCCTGTAAGATAGAGGTGACCGATGGAGGTGACCTGGTGTTATCTTCTGTGGGATAGAGGTGACCGTATAGGTGACCAGGTTTAACCTCCTGTAAGATAGAGGTGACCAGATGTAACCTCCTGTAATATAGAAGTGACCAGGTGTAACCTCCTGTAAGATACAGGTGACCAGGTGTAACCTCCTGTAAGACACAGGTGACCAGGTGGAACCTCCTGTAAGATAGAGGTGACCAGGTTTAACCTTCTGTAAGATAGAGGTGACCAGGTGTAACCTCCTGTAATATAGAGGTGACCAGGTGTAACCTCCTGTAAGATACAGGTGACCAGGTGTAACCTCCTGTAAGATACAGTTGACCGATGGAGGTGACAAGGGGTAACCTCCTGTAAGATATAGGTGACCAGGTTTAACCTCCTGTAAGATACAGGTGACCGATGGAGGTGACCTGGTGTTATCTTCTGTGGGATAGAGGTGACCGTATAGGTGACCAGGTGTAACATCCTGTAAGATAGATGTGACCGATGGAGGTGACCTGGTGTTATCTTCAGTGAGATAGAGGTGACCGATAGAGGTGACCAGGTGTAACCTCCTTTAAGATAGATGTGACCAATGAAGGTGACCTGGTGTTATCTTTTGTGAGATAGAGGTGACCGATAGAGGTGACTAGGTGTAACCTCATGTAAGATACAGGTGACACACCACATGAGTACACGATATAGAAATACAATTGTGCTGGTCAGAGAGATCGAATCGGACAGTTATGAATACTAGATGATGAAATGTATGCTGTATTATAATGATAAATTGTACTTTGGAAACTGGAAACACAATTAATTGTTTATACCGGAGATCATAATTCATTATAGAAACTAGAGATCATGCTTGCTTGGTAACATTATGTTATAAAAATTAGCACATTATATACAGTTGTATGACTGTCAATTATATCCTGACGTTTATGTCAAGTATTTCATGATGTTTATGTCAATTATATCATGATGTTTATGTCAATTATATCTTGAAAACGTTCCTTAAAACGTCCTCTATATTGTTGACGTTTTCATTGAAGAAATATTTTCTGGTTTCGATTTTGTTGATGTGTTTTTGTATCCTGCTTCAAATTGTTATTTACTTAAATTAATTTGAATTCATTTATGGTTTATAACTCGGTCTTATGGTAACATATTTGCTTGGAGAGTTCGAGTAATGTTCTATGACTTTGTTGTAAGTCTAGGAAGGTTAGCTGAAGTTGTCTCATTTTTACTTAGATTTTCCTTCATATCAATAAAATTTAAATTTGTCCGTTTATTACCCGTACAAACAATAATGCTACCTGATGTTTGCCTTATAGTTATTATCACCTAAGGCACCTTGTACACAATGTATCATCTGTATGTCTATACGGAAAACATCTCTAATATGTATACACTCTACATAAAAGCAACAGCACCATTGAAACTTAACTTTTATGCATTTACAGTCATCATTATGACATTCTTCATCAGGTTGACGTTGCCATTTAAGTATTTAGTAACCCGTATCTAGTTAATATCTGCCTTTGCAAAAGGGACTATCCGAAAAAAGGTTACATTTCGTCAGAGTATGAGGCCGGTACGATAGACAATTGTTAAACTGAAACTTTTTTCTAGACACGAATTGTCACGTGTCAGCGTTTACTCTGTATATATGATTCTGACACTGTTATCTGTGTGGTAGCGGACTTCGTAGTCAACTCAATGTGTGCTCTCTATCTGATATGATCAGTGGGATTAATGCGAACATGACTTCTTCCTAGTTGTTGTTGATTGGTCACTGTGGATCTGACTACTTCAGCTGTACTGACGATTTGTTTACAAATTCAGTCAGATAAAATGATTATAAATGCAACCGTACACGTGTTGGATCGGAAAAGGTAAAGGCACTACGATAATATATTAAATGTTAAGTGGCACATGGAGAATGGAGTAATANATGACAGGAAGTAACACATGAAACAGGTAGAAACACATGACTGTACATACATGCCATATCTCACGTGAATATGAAATACTTTGTAATACAACATTTGTAATGATTGATACAACTTTATTTTTCCATAGCGATCGTATAATATAATGCCATATATGACTTTGAATACTACACAATTATTGACTTCATGTGAGGTTTCTTCATGATTTACGAACCTGGTTGATTAAATATAAATCGAGGATGAAGCCAACAAATTCATGTTCAGGTTAGGTCAGTTACTGAAATCAAAAAGTATTAAATTATATGTCATTATAAATGTAACCGTCTCATCCTTTTGTCACATTTGAATTATTCTAAATTTTAATGTAGTCTGTCACATAGATATCTATTTGGTTTAAATTGAGCCTGTAAAACACTGACATATTCGTCGCATGACTGATCCCATCCAACCTAAGTAGTAAATGCGGAGCAGACAAATTTAATTTATTAGATTGAGGTCTGTGCTTGAACTGGAAACAATCTACCCTATCTTAGCAAGAGCTTTGAATGAGGACAGTGCTATCATTGATATTACATAGCATATCTATTTTTATTATAATTATTACCTTTATATTTTCCAAATTAGGGTTACAATTGCATTCCATATTAATAAACACCAAATAATGTAATACTTGAAACAGAACAATGGATAAATATTTCATACATGTAACAAACATGTATTTATCTTATACGGACACTATGCACATTTCATATTTACCTTAACGGTCATATAAGCATGTACATATATAAGTCAAGAAAGTGTCATACATACGTTTGTAGCTACCAGTTACACATACATGTAATGCTATATAGGGTTACTCTCAAATCAGCTGCTGTAAATCTTTTTACATTTTTCAGACCTATACCACAGAGATAATTCTGTCACGTTAAAAAACCCCAGAATGTACCGTAGCTATCATCTGTTATAACACATTGAAATGTTGTGATGTGGAATATCACTAAATGTAACCTAGCTTTCATTTTTAAATACATTCAAATGTTGTGATGTGGAATATCACAAAATGTAACCTAGCTTAACCTAGCTTTCATTTTTAAATACATTCAAATGTTGTGATGTGGAATATAACAAAATGTAACCTAGCTATCATCGTTTTAATACATTTAACTGCTGTGATGTGGAATATAACAAAAAGTAACCTAGCTATCATCTTTTTTAATACATTCAAATGTTGTGATGTGGAATATAACAAAATGTAACCTAGCTATCATCTTTTTAATACATTCAAATGTTGTGATGTGGAAAATAACAAAATGTAACCTAGCTATCATATTTTTTTAAGATATTTAAATGGTGTGATGTGGAAAATAACAAAATGGAACCTAGCTATCATCTTTTTAAGATATTTAAACGGTGTGATGTGGAATATAACAAAATGGAACCTAGCTATCATATTTTTTAAGATATTCAAATGGTGTGATGTGGAATATAACAAAATGTAACCTAGCAAGCATCTTTTTAAGATATTTCAATGTTGTGAAGTAGAATATAACAAAATGCAACCTAGCTCTCATCTTTTAAACATATCTAAATGGTGTGATGTGGAATATAACAAAATGTAATCTAGCTATCATCTTTTTAAGATATTTAAACGGTGTAAAGTGGAAAATAACAAAATGCAACCTAGCTATCATCTTTTTAATACATTTAAATGGTGTGAAGTGGAATATAACAAAATGTAGCCTAGCTATCATCTTTTTAATACATTTAACTGTTGTGATGTGGAATATTACAAAATGTAGCCTAGCTATCTTCTGTTATCATACACTGAACTGGTGTGATGTGGTATAAACATAATGGAACACGCGTGCATGTATTATATTTTTTAATCGCAAACTGTTCAGGTCTATCCGTTATACTGTCAAGGTAATCGGGGACAATTCATTGAGTGACGTCAAATTCAACAGAAATTCCCTGCTGATGTTAGCCGCCTTACGAAAATGTGGAGGATAAGAAAGCAGACCTTGACATTGTTCCGCCATTTGTTACACCAGTTTAAATGTTTCATATCGGAAGAAACCACTAAAAAGCATAACAAAATACTGTGGTTTTTTTCAGTGTAAGAATAAAGCAAATTTCAATCTAAAAATAATGCTTGGAAGGTTTATTGTATCCTGTTATATGTGCCTATATATACAGGGAGAGAGATTTTTGTACTATGTCTATAGCTTTTTTAAATAGCATTTGCGTAATATCATTTGTTTATTGGCAATGCAGTTGCATATTGTATTTTAGACTTCAGGTCTACCTTGCCCATGACTAGGCCCGTCGGCTAAGCCAAGTCACCCCTGCAGGTCGGGGATTGCGAAAAATTACACCTACTGTACCCACTGCATAACCCTGTAGGATTAGGGATTTGCTTGTATTCTCTCTTCTTGGGGACACAAAAGCAACCAAATTTAATTTGTTGCTTCATTACAATATTTGGGTTTCTTCTATTTCTCTCTTATTCCAACCTCTTTGTTTCCTCGCGCCTTGCAAGGCAAAGCCTCACTTTTGGCTTTGTTGTTGAACGCATTCCAGGACATACCAAAGTCCTTGAA